AGAAAATTTTAAAGCCGTAGCAACATTTAAAAGGGGAGAAAAAAATTCGCGAAATGACGGAAAAACGCGACTTCGCACGCCACGCTCGCAACTTTAGGCTCTTTGAGGCGCCATTTAAAAATTTGTTTTCTTCATTTTCATTTTTTCCCCGTTATTTCCTCACCAAAAGGAACCATTTGCAGGGTTCCGCACTTTAAATTTCCGAAAAGTCGAAAATAAGGGCCACCCTAGCCGTACAGAGATAACGCCTGCAAACAGCGCGTGATACCTCCAGCGTTACCTTCACGCATTTTTCTCGGAACCGGGTACTCAATAACATTAGTGCATTACCATATCGACGGTGTAGGTCGGCAATCACATAACTCGGTTTGCGACGTCGCAAACTTCCTATCATATTTTATTTTTTAAACGAAAAACTACACAACGGCAATTCTTTAAAACTTCCATCATTTTTCTTCTCTGTGCGAAGAAAATTCTGCAAAAACTTCAAGGAATCATGTCAATTTGTTCTCCTCTTAAAAAAGTAACATAGAGGCGGAGATTTTCAGACACAGCAAACGAGTTATGTGATTGCCGACTTACACCGTCGATATATGAGTGGCTTGGAGGACAAGGCGCATAAGTGCAGTCTGAGATGATTATAATGATTTAAAGTAAAACTATTCTTAGTGCATATTCTGTGAAAGATTCCTCCTTTGAAAATATCGATTTAGGCGAGAAAAGCTAGCCTCGCCGAGAATATATTGTTTTACATACATTTAACAGGAGAAGCTCGACAGGGGCCGGCATGAAGAGTCGTGGAAAACAGCGATCGTGGATGCGAAATGGGTCAAGTTGCAGAAGCAGTTAAAAAATCAAGCGTAATTTCCAAAAGAATGAATGGAGAAATGCTGATTTTTCAGGCGTTATCTGGCGACAACGATTGCAGACGAGTAACGCATATTTTATCATCAAAACCGTGCCACAGTGGAGTATTATACCCGAAAAGCTGGCGAAAAGTCCAAAAAAAAAAATTGGTAAAAGTTTGGTAAAACAGGTAAATAATGATTCTCTGATATCTACTGCATGACATTGTGACAACAGAATCCGCTTAATATTACTGGATGGTCGAGGAAAAAAGGGTAAACCCAGCGGTTTCGCGCGCATCTTAGCTCTAGTTCAGTATTGTTTACGTTCAGCTNTCCACTGTGCGTGCGAGGCGTAAACATGCCTCGTTCGGGGGCTTTTCGCTGTGCTGAAGGTAAAACACCGTAAATGCACTCAAATGTTGCCAAATACTCCCGAAGCAATATTTATTATTTATACCAGTGCTTTACGACAGGGGCAAGGCGTGAGCAAACAATTATCAATATTTTCCCATTCGAAGCTATTGTAAAGAATCGACAGTCGATAATTGATCCTAGCTTTCTCGATCTTAGCTTCAAATGGGAAAATATCGATAGCCGATATATCAAGCTGCTGTTGATTAAATATGGATATTTTGCACAGCGTTAGACGGGGAAAAATGACTTGATATTTCAGCTCCACCCGGTGACAATCAGTGGCGTGGCGTGCTTTGCGATATATCGATTGATACGCCACTCAAACCTATGAGAAAAAGTCGATTATCAGGGTGTTCGCAGCGAACACCTTAGTAATCGATTCTGTACCATAGCTTCAAATGGCGAGATATCGATAATCGATCCTTCACGCCACGTCACTGGTGACAATGTTCGCGGATCACTTGATAGTGAAACTCCGTCAAAAACCACTTTTAAGCATTTACGTAGCACAGTCCCTCATCTATTCAATTTCCCCCCTCCTTCCAACCCACCCCACCACTCAAGGCCCTTACAGTTAACGCCGCGCAGAAGAATACCTCCAAGCAAAGACGCTCCGAATGCTTTTGACATGTAAATGCAGCCCGATCTGTTCAAAACAACGTATAGGCAGTGTATTTTAAGTAGAACATTCGCTGTTATCACGTGCAAGACATCAAACGTCCGCATTAAAATGAGAAAAGAAGCTCCACGTCGCCTTGGAGGATTGAGACAAGAGTTGTAAAAGAAACAATTTTGGAGTCGCAAAGAAAACTGGGTCTGTAAGGTGGCCCACAAAAAATGAATTTCGGAAATTTATAGCCGTAACCCCCTAAATCGGCTACAGCATGTTCAAAAACACGGAAAATGAAATTTGGGGTCAATCGGACAAAATTAACCCGACGCGCAGTTGACATTTATCCCCGCAAAAATAGCGAATTTTTACTGTTTTTCAGTAATTTTTCGCTCCCAAAAAATAAAGCCGGAGGGGTCTGCAAATTAAACAGATGGCAAAATTAGTTCATAAACTACACCCTAGTGAAGTTTTGGACCCCTCCATGCTTTTGATCCGACGCGCGGTTGCCACTTTCACGCATGAAAATAACGAATTTTTGACTGTTTTTGATGATTTTTCCCTGTCAATAAATTAACGTTACAGATGCCTAAATTGTAATCAGAGTGTGGAATTAGTAGCTACGATGCTCCCAATGCTCCCCTTCTGATAATTTTGACACGCTGCGACGTTGCCATTTTTCTGAGCAAAATTGTGAATTTCGACTTATTTCGATATCATCTCTCTAGACCTAAAAAAAAAAAACTCAGGAGCCATCGAAAAAGTGCGCTAAAACACGGTGATTATACCATGAGTATCTTCTTTGAAAATTTGGACCCTGTAAAATGTTTTACTCGACGTGAAGTCACCACTTGGCAAACAGGGGTTGACGGTAACAGTCAAGTTTCATACGTTAATGCGCCTTCAATTACATTGGATACTGTGCAATACTTTCGTGGTGGAATAGTTGCATTGGCGCCTACAAACCTAACAGGGATACTTCACTCATTGCGCAATGCATGCAGTATCCCTGTTAGGTTTGTAGGCGCCAATGCAACTATTCCACCACGAAAGTATTGCACGGTATCAAATGTAATTGAAGGCGCATTAACGTATGAAACTTGACTGTTACCGTCATGGTGTCAGGGGGTATTTTTTAACGGGGAATTTGAATCTCAACTCAAATTTTTAAAATTCAAAAATTTATTTTTTTTAAAATTTATTTTATTACTTATTTATTGTTTTATTTTTTCCAGTTTTTATTTTATTGTTTTATTTTGTTTTATTTTTTCTCTTTTTCATGTCCTTTGTCACGGCTCTTCCCCCATTTTTTATATTTTTTACTCACTTCCCCCACGCTTATCTCTTTCCTACTGTTCATTTTCTAATAATTGTACTTTAATTAGGTATGTGGGCTTTCAAGTGGCAGGCTATTTTTAAGAATGGCAATTCCTATTTCTCACGCATCTGTTGTGTTCAATATGAGTCTGAAATAATGAATCTTGTTGCAAAATTAAGTTGAGTTGCATTTTTTGACGCAACTCGGGCGAATTTGGAATGTGTGGAGCAGGAAAAGTGTGTTCCTGGCTGTGTTCAATGTCGCTTGGAACAATGGGAGTTTTTTTTATCGGGAGTCAGAGCAAACGAGATAACGAGAGCAATATTTAGTCGTTCGGAAGGGCCGTAAATTTTGTGACTGATGTGAGGTGAGAGTCGTGTGCTATACTGCCGTGCTAAGGAAGAACGCCGTATGAACCTTCAGGCGTTGCCAAATTTCCTTTGATACAACGCGAATTTTATGGTAAATTTATGAATATTCGCCTCCCAAGTTTTCAGATAATTTAGTTCGCAATTTTACCAGAAGATTCTGAAAATTTAAAGGAAAAATATTCATAGCTTTACTCCAAAATAAACATTTTATCAAAGGAAGTTTGGCAACTCTCGAATGTTCATACGGCGTTGTTCTTTAGCACGGCAGTGTACACTGTACACTTCACATGCCCTACTTAGAACTAGAGGAATCATAATTTAATAACATCCACCAGTTTCAACCGATAGGAAGGTTCTATTTTCCGTTTGTCTTCAGCTTTGCCTTACCTTTGCTTTGCCGGACAGAATGATCATGGGGCTCACTCACGCTCCTTAGTCTATAGCTTTGTCTATCAAACTAAACTATGCTTTGCTGAACGGGACGAGCATGAGGCTGACTCACGCTCCTTAGTCTATAGCTTTGTCTATCAAACTCACCTTTGCTTTGCCGAACGGGACGAGCGTGAGGTTCATGTACGCGCCGAGGTCAGTCATGTAAGTCGGGTACAGCTGGTTCTTGATGAAGTCCATGCTGTCTGGGCACAAGCTCTCATAGTAGACGGTCACTCCGATTTTCTGAAACAAAAAACATAACAGTTAGAACATAAGAAATAATTTCTGGAAAAACAAGAAGTTTCCCGTTCAACATCCGATCATTAACATGGCGGACTACTGCCGTGCTAAGGAAAATCGAATTAACATTCGATAGTTGCCAAATGTCTCCGGATAAAACATGTATTTTTGCGGAAAGTTACGGTTATATTTCCTTGAAATATTTCGATATTTAAGATTAAATTGCAAACAAAATTGTATGAAAAATTTAAAGAAAAATCATGACAATTTTCCCCCAGTGAATTCGTTTTTTATCGAAGGAAATTTGGCAACGACTGAGGCGTTCTTCCTTAGCACGGTAGATTAGGATCACTCCATTTTCCCGTCATCCTCCTTTGTCTATCACTCTGTCAATTGCTTTGTCTATTGAGTTCAATAATCAGCCGCAGGTAATCCATTCTGAACGATGACTGGATGATTAAGGTGATTCGAGGGACGCCATATTTTGTGTCAGAACGGCATGCGATATATCGCATCAATCGGTTCCATTTTTTCAGCTACTCGTCATCTTTCTCAAATTTTGAGATCGCAATTCTGATGTCAGGAGACTAAAGCACTCACTTACCAATTTTAACAAAGAAATTCAACGTCATACAGGCGTGGTTTTTTTAGAGAGAAAATATCGCATTCGAGTGCAAATTCGATATCAGTATCGAATGTGACGTTTTCTCTCTAAAAAAAAACCACGCCTCTATTACATGGAATTTGTTTGTAAAAATTGGTAAGTGAGTGCTTTAGTCTCCTGACAACAGAATTGCGATCTCAAAATTCGAGACAAATTATTAGTATCTGAAAAAACAGAGCCAATCGATGCGATATATCGCACGTCGTTCTGACGCAAAATATGGCGTCCATCGAATCACCTTAAGCCCTCACTTTGAGTTTCTCCTTGCAGTCATTTTGCACACACTACGCTCTCTCCATGTCCGGCGGGACAAGAGCGACGCCGACACCATTGCAGAAATGGACGTATTCCTGCTAAACGGAACAATGTGCAATAAGACATGAGCCCTGAGATCCATGAGAGTGTATGCATAACAGGGCTCACGTCATGTTGTGAATAGTTTGTTTGGCAGAAATACGTCTAAATGAGTGACAGACGCGCATGATGCAATCGGGACGATCCGTGACCTTGCCCCAAAGAAGAAAACAATTGACCATGCACCGTGCCGCTTCGACCACTGGAACCAGAACCGTGTCGGCCGGCGGCGACGATGCAGAAGAAGAAACTCCCAACCTCGATGCAAACTCCGAGGGAGATACGCGGTTTTTCACGGCCGCCGCCGCGATTGGTCAGTTCGATAGTGATCGGGATCCCAACTGATTACTGATCCCGAAAACCGCATATCAGTGGAACCGTCCCGTGGTTTGGCCTCGCGAGCACACTTTCGGAGTGCGGTTCACGTCAGCGACGGCATAATGCCCGGATTATGTAATCTGCCGCACTGGAAAAAAAAAAAAAACATTGGATGTAGAGTCCAGACTCTTAAAAACATCGACAAGAAAAAATACTCTTGATTCAATCGGATTTTTGCTTAGATCAAGAACCAAGCCTCTTAATTTGAGCGGATTTCCTTTTGATTTAAGCAAAAATCCGATTGAATCAAGAGTCCTTTTTCTTGTCAATGTTTTCAAGAGTCTGGACTCTAGATCCAATGTGTTTTTTTTTCCAGTGCGTAAAACCCGTATAACTCCGTTTATACAAAGTTTTGAAGTTCTAAAAGTGGTCCTATTGGTTTCCTCGTGAAATTTTCTTCTGAAAGTACCCCTTAGAATTGAAATTGTGACGATATGAACATCAAAATTTGCAGTTTGAAGTCAAAAATTTCATGTCCGACCTCTCTGATTGATTCAACATAGGAAAAAAAAACACATTGAATCTAGAGTCCAGACTCCGAAAAATATCGACAAGAAAAAATACTCTTGATTCAATCGGATTTTTGCTTAAATCAAGAACCAAGCCTCTTAATTTGAGCGGATTTCCTTTTAATTTAAGCTAAAATCTGATTGAATCATGAGTATTTTTTCTTGTCAATGTTTTCAAGAGTCTGGACTCTAGATCCAATGTGGGTTTTTTTTTCCAGTGCGTGCTAAGGAAAAACGAAAAGATACCTGTAAATGAAGAAAAGTCACTTACATCAAGCAGAACCCCGCTTTCATTCAGCTATTTTATTCTTGATTCATAATAAAATTTCCTTGGCGGCACACTCAAGAATGCTTCTGCCTAAATCGAGTCACTTTTTTCTCTTTCTTAATTCAAAAATTATCCTAAACGTTATTAAATACGGATGCTAGGACTTGATGAGTTTTTGGAATACCACTCTCTTTTTGTGCCGTAGTATCTTGATTTCTTTTGCGAGGAAAGCTCCGTGCTTTTAAAGGACACCTGTCATTGTAGGCGCGGCGGCGGGCGAGGACAACCAGCGCGACAAACGCACTGGCCCCTACAAACCTAACAGGGATACTTCACGCATTGCGCAGTGCGTGAAGTATCCCTGTTAGGTTTGTAGGCGCCGCGCCAGGGGGCATGTCGCCTTGACAGCACGTCGCTTCGCTCTGTGTTTGGCTCCAATATTTAAACTCCCGGCGTCAGTGTTTTTCAACCTATGATTTTTTAGTGTTTGCTGCATGGATAATTTTCATTTAAATCGGTAAAAAAAAATGTTTCAAAGGAAAATATGCTGTACGTTTTTTAAACATTATGGTGGCTCTGTGTCAAATTTAGTGTCAATTTAATGTGTCAATTTTTCCAAAGCACTTTCATTTTTTCTTTAATATGTTGTGCTTTCACTGTGTTGCAGCATGGTATGCGCGCAATCAAACGCTCAAAATTAGACGTATTAAACTCTAAAAGATCAATGTACAAATGGGTTAAAACCATAGATTGCGTGCTTCTTGATTTTACCCCCTATTTTATTCATGTTTGTATAGTTTATTTCAACACAACTACGGCTCATTGAGATTAATATCGATGCCATCGCTTGGAAAAGGTTTGACAAATATTTGCCACGTTTTAATATTTTTTTCCATCAATTTAAATAAGAATTATCCATGTAAAGCGTGCAAACATTACAAGATCGTGGGTTGAAAAACGTCGACTCCGCGAGTTTAGATATTAGAGCCAAACACAGAGTGGAGCGGCGCGTGGAGAGCTGGCAATGGCAAATGCGTGAAGTATCCCTGTTAGGTTTGTAGGCGCCAGTGCGTGTGTCGCGGTGGTCGTCCTCGCTCGCCTCGAGTTAGGTTAGGTTTCATACAGTGAAGTTAAAGAACCTTCAGTTTTCATTTCTAGTGGTCGTATCATTTTTCCCTCTAAAAATCATTCGAAATAATGACCGCTTTATAGAGCAAGAACTGAACTTCAGTTCGGTAAATCAAATATTCAGTTCAACGAGTCGAGTTCGGTTCCGAATTGAAAAACTTCGGCCGCCGTGGCACATCTTTGCAAACCGAAGTTCGACTACGACCAGTGGCGATTCCTATAAGTCGGCAACACTGTTTTTTTCTCCATTTAAATGTATGATAAACAATCGATTCTAGGCAAGGCAGCTTGTCTCACTTGGAATCGATATATTCAATGAATTTAAATGGAATATGAACAGTGTTGCCGACTACAACCTTGAAATGGAGTTACATACAATCGCCAAGGAAACGGCAGAATGGAACTTATCTGATTTTTTGGGGGAAAATACGAATTTTCCGCGAATCTTTGCGACAAGGCCGCCCTCTCGTGCCACGGTGAGCAAACACAAAAGCGCGTCGACTTAGTGGGGCAACGAGGATGTGCTCGTATGAGCGCACGGTTTTTGACCAACAGCTACAGTACCACGAACCGTGTGCGACGCGAAATCAAGAGCGCGCGCTGCCTTTAACTCTACTCTCTGATGGATCAGGGTCTCACAGCTCCTTAAAGTCTCCTGGGCGAGGAAATGGAGATGTTGCATGTGTGAGGAATTTGCGATTTGACTATTGATTCTTACGTAAAAGTTCGCGAGAAACACGATGATGCCACTGGTTTTCCCTGAAATCAACTCCCAAGCTCAAAAAAAGCTCTCAAGTTGAGGCCAAAATGGAGGGGATATCCCACCCTACCCTTAGAGACCACTTCTACATCAAGACAAACTCTCCATGCAAAGATAGGGAGCAAATACATTGAAAGGGCTGCCACTTCATTTGGGGACTTTAAAACTGAAAACACGGCATCACTGCTGATGTTTTCAGTTTTGGAGTCCCCAAATAAAGTGACAACCCTGCTAATGTATTTGCTCCCTATCTTCGCGTGGAGACTTTGTTTTGATGTAGAGGTGGACTCTCAGGGAAGGGTGGGATATCCCCTCCATTTTGGCCTTAACTTGATAGCTTTTTTTGAGCTTGGGAGATGATTTCAGAGAAAACCAGCGGCACCATCGTATTTCTCGCGAACTTTTACACAAAAATCAGTAGTCAAATCGAAAATTCCTCACACATGCAACATCTCCATTGGACATCAGGGAAGGAGGAAGAAAGAGAAGAAGAAGGTTTTTTCCCAACGAAATAATTGCACTCAGTTGCGCGGTCAATCCCGCGTCGCGCGATGTCTGTGAAACCGTGGCTTAAGGCCCCCAATGCCTATACACTTTATCGCGTTCGAACTTCATTACGCTAATCGGTTGCATGAGCCGTCATGCCGTCAACCTTTCCCCTCCCCCTCCTTCCCTTCCGCACCAGTTCGCGTCAGTTCGGAGGCAAGTAACACGCTTCCTATTTAACCTTTGGTAGGTATCTCTAGAGATTCGCTCGATTTTAAGTTCGACAGGAAATCCCGACATCCCTTTTCATGCCGTCAAAAGCTAGGATATCCGTTAATCGATTTATCGATTTGGTGGATTATGCAATGATTGATCGGATCCAGGTCGTAGGGGATGTGCTCTGTCGTGCCAAGGAAAAACACAGCACACTGAAAAAAAAGATTGGTGGAATTTACC